GAGACACTCTTCTCTCAAACCCGGTCCCGTATTTGGTCTTTCCAGTGGCCAGATTGAGCTCCAGCACAGTGTGTCCGTTTCTTTCCCACCGTATAGAGTCCACATGTAGGACTGAAGTAGCACGGTAGTTGGACCGGTTGTCCCTCAGTGGCAGATGCTTCAGAGCCCACAACAACATTCAGCTGGACTCTTTGATCCCGGCTGCCGCAGATGAGCTCATAAAGTCCAGTATCTGTGTAGACTGAGCGACTGAAGGCAAAGCAGGAGTTCACATCCACCCTGTCTTTGTAATTTTTGTCTTCGCAATCCTCTCATCAATGGAAACAAGTAAACAAGAGCTGATCTCACAACTTGACATGAGTCAGCGGGCAAAAAACCACAAGGAAACCACATGCACAGAGAGCGTGCTTGTGCAGAATCCGCTTTACAGTTAATAACTGTTTCAACTGGTTAGGAATGGCGCCATTGCCATAATCTATTTCTTCTATTCGGTGAGTCTTTTGTCGATTTCCGTATTGATTTCTGATCAGTTTTCGTGTGAAAAAAATCATACCTTATCAATTCATTTTATCAATGCTACAATGATCCCCGGCCAACAAAAGTTGTAGTGGGAAAATGCATTCAGGGATAAGGTTCTGCCGAACATGAACAACACCGCTCCAGGATCAGCACATTAGGTGTATTTTTCTTGTTCCCCCAGCTCTCCTGCGCTGAACACCCACATGTGGCCTCTTCAGCACTCCTGTCTAATAAAAGAATAGTGGATCAAGGTCCCCCCAGGCCACTAAATTACCATTTTCCTCCAGGTGCCCCTGCCACTGTGCGTACACATTTGAAAACACAAAAACCCGCCAACATGAATTATACTATTAATACTCCCTCTGTGAAAACTCGCAACGCTCTGATGCAATGATGTTTCCTCATTACTTAAGCCGGTGTGATGAATGTACGATAAGCTATAAAGTTGTTGAAGTACACCTTGAACCTCCTTTCAGCAGCCCTAAACCGTTACATGCGCCACCCCACACCCTCTCACCTCTCTTCCTCTCTCTCTCTCTGGCAGTGCACGCACTACCCTGCCCCCCCCCCCACCCCGGCCTCAGATCTTCA